GGCGCGGGAGAGAGGGGGAGTGAGGGAGGGGAGGAGAGGAGAGGGAGAGAGGAGAAGGGAGGGGAGGAGATTCAGCACCGCCTCCTGAGTCCTGGCATCACCAGCTGCCATTGCCCACAGCTGGGCCGCAGAGGAGTGACTCTGGGCCGCAAGGGGTTGGTCCCAGGCGGCATGGCCTGGGGTCCTCAGTGCGGCCTGCAGCTTGGGCAGCCAGGGCAGCCTCCTGGCACAGCACGTTTGAGAAGGCCGATGCGGGAGTGGCCGCCGGTACCTTTCTCCAGGCCAGGCCGCCACTGGGTACCAAGGAGGCCACAAGGGCAGGTGGGCGGGCGGGTCCACAGAGCGGGGTGAGTGCTCTGTCTCCCTGCAGGTGCCGTGGGGCCTGAGTGGGGGGTAGAGGACCAAGACAAGGGCTGGGCCTGCTGACACTCCCTAGGGTCACCGCAAGGGCATTTGGATGGGCCGCACCCCCTCGGGAATGAAGCCACCATGGGGTCAGGGCAGATATAAAACAGGAAAGGAGTGAACCAGCAAGAGCCAGAGCGTGGCTCAGCAAGGACGGGCCGGGAGTGATCCAACTGTTCGCTCTTCACATACACACACACACACACGCACACACGCATGCACACACATGCATACACACGTGCGCACATGCACACATGTGCACAGACATGCACACACACTTTCACACACGCGCACACACGCACGCACGCACGCGCACACACACTGTGGACCTGAGAAAAAAGACACCTACTAAGAAGGGCTCCTGGTGGCTAACTGGGCTTAAATTAAGAAACAAAAACAAAACAGAGCCAGGCAGGCATTTGCACAGGGAGAAGATGCACTGAACTGCCTGCCTGCGCTGTTTCTGTCACCTGAGCTGGCCCTTATAAAGGAGGTCCTGGAATCCATTTCAACCAATAGGATTGAGGCTTTCCCCATCCAATCAGAGCTGCACAGCTTGGACCACCCAGAGTGGCTCTATTCTGACCAATCAGTACAGTGGCTTTTGGACAACCAAACTGCAAGGATTTGGCATTCTCATTTGCCTGAGGACAGACCGTAGGGACCAGGAGTCGGCATCTGTCTATATAAGCAGCTCCCTGTGGTCTGGGAGTGCACTTCCCACCGGGACAGAGCACCTGAGCTGAGCCCACAGCTGGGCTCTGCGGCAGCCAGTGCTGTTGTCACGCGCACACTATGTTGACAGCCCTGCATGTCACAACTGAGCTGTTTGCACTCAATAGTTTCTTTCCTCACTGAACCCCAAATTGGGGATTCCTGTTGGCATCGAATTGGTTACAATGACCATTGGTTGACCACATACACACTCACATTCAAGTGCACCCCCAAATATATGCACACATGCTCATGCATGCACACATAATAGGCACATACAAACTCACACATACACACACCCCATATGCACACTCCTGCACATACATGCATGCACATATACATTAACACACATTCACATACAGATGCATACACACATACATATCCATACACACCTCCCCACACATTAACACACACACACATACACACAGGCACACACACTGACATATACATATCCACACACATAGTCACACACATATACACATGTACATGCATACACTAACAAACACATGCTCACACACACATACCCACTCACATACACACATGCACATATACACATACACACTTACATACATACCCACATACACATTAACAGATACGCACATACACACACTCACACACATGCACATGCATACACACTCAGACATGCATATACCCATTCACACTCACATATACACATGCACTCACATGAACACTCATACACATTTACTCACATAAACACACATTCACACACTCACATACACACTCATACACACCTACACACACACTCGCACACACTCGCACACACACACACCATCCACCACACATACCACACCTCCTCACTCTGGCATGCTGAGAGCAGCCATGGACACGAGCTCAGTGCCATTTGGAAGCCCCCCAGACACCCCTGGCGGGCTGGTCCCTGCTCGGACAGGGCCTTCCAGGCACTGGTGCTGAGAGCGCAGGGCTGCGCTCACCTCTTCTACACTTGGTTCTGATATACGTACCATTTGACGTCTGTGATAGACACTCAGGGGCCCTGCCACAGCGGGGCCCACTCGACCACGCCTGCAATATCTAGGGAGGGACCCCAATATCATAAATAGCTTCCCAGGAGGCTCCAGTAGGAATCTGGCTTCAGAGCCATAGACCATTATGTGCAGAGAACGGGAAAATGCACTTTTGGAGAAAGCCTCATTTCTCTTTTCCATCTTCCCTGCACTTCCTAAACTCAGGCCTGTCCTTGAAGGGGAGCCGCAGGGGCATGGCACCCTCAGGAGGGTGGAGGGGAGGAGGGTGGGGCCCTCAATGGCTTTGGGGGGCACAGCAGTCTCCCCTCCAGGTCTCCAATCACAGTGATTGTGAATGAAGATGCCACTGGTTCCCATCTGCTTCAGCTGAATTGTGTGCCCCCAAATCCATGTGCTGCACCCCTAACCCTCTGTGCTGCTATATTTGGAAAGGGGCCTTTAGGGAGGTAATTGTGTCCCGTGAGATCACTGGTGGGCCCTCGCCAATGTGATTGGTGTTCTCACATGGGGATGAGGGCGGAGAAGACGGCATCTGCAAGCCCTGGTGAGGCCGCAGGGGACCCACCGCCCACACCTGGGCCTTGGACTCCCCTCCTAGGCCTGAGACAGGCACCTTGGCCTGGAGGGTCTGTCCCAGCCTGAGCTGCTAACAGCGGCCTGACTGTGGGGGCACATGGCTCCCAGCACTCAGCTAGGAGGAGCCTGGGGAGCCTGGTGCACAGACAGGATGCTCGACCTTCCAGTGCCACTGCTCAGCCACCTGCAGGCCTCCAAGCCCATCAGTCCTGGTCCCGGGAAGCTGGCTGCCCAGGAGCCCAGGCTGCCCAGGCTGCCAGGTGGCAGCTTGTGCCACAGGCTCAGGGACACCCACCTCCACGCTCTGCTGGGGCTCGGCAGGTGCCCTGGGGCTGGTGCTCGCGGGGGCCACTGGCTGTGTCAGGAAACACTCTCCACAGACTCGGCTCTGCCTGCCGCTCTCTGCCTTGAACTCGGAGCACTTCCCACAAATGACCTGCCAGACAGAGGCACCGTGACCCTCCCTCCCGCGGACAGAGGCCTGTCCTGGAAGAGGCGGGAAGGGCCATGGCCAGGAGATTGAACAGGCGGGCGAGGGGGGGGCCTCTGCAGACCCTGGGGGCCAGGAGCCTGGGGAGGGCAGAGACCAAGGCTGGGGGCCCGGGAGTCTGCATCACAGAGAAGGGCTGGGAGGAGGGCTGGGAAGAGGGCTGGGAGGAGGTCTGGGAGGAGTCGTCA